TGACATGCCTTTGGGGTCTTACAGTTTTGGATACTCGGTACAAGTATGGTTCATGCCTTGCTCGAGGTCTTACAGATATTGTCACTTGGTACAAGTGCGGTTCATGTCATGCTTGAGGTCTTACAGATATTATTGTTGTCTTATGTATGTCTTACGAGACCGTGGCTGCCAGTTTGGGGTCTTATGCCCTCGGATTTTTGATAAGCCGATGGAGATGGTGATTGACGGCAGTCCCCGAGTTATCGAGAATTTCTCGGCTCGGGATCCATTACTTGTGAACTTCGTATTGCCTCATTGAGGGCCTATGATTCCAAAGTTTCCGTCCCGGGGGTCATGTGGACTTGAGTTTTTGACGCCTGTCCCCGAGTGCTCAGGACATTTTTGGCTCTGGAGTAGTTTTGTGATCTCAGTGTTGCCTCATTGAGGGCTTATGAGTTAGGAGCTCCAACCCGGGGGTCGCATTGTTTTGAGTTGTTGATGCCAGTCCCGAGTGTTCGGGACGTTTTTGACAGAGGAGCCATTTTTGCAACAAATACCGAGTATCTTTTGTAGCGTGAAATGCTTTGATGAAAAGTATTCTTCGATTACTTGGTATAAGTATACACGCCTTTGCCGTACGGAGCTTGGTTGTTCTATGCGGACACGGTTCGTTTGACCGTTTAGTCCGGTACACTATTTTCCTATCGAGACCCTGTTTAGCATGTCTTAGCTTCTCCGAGAAGGTGATCTTCCGGGGGGATGCCCCTCAGTATTCGAGGTTGATTGCAAAAGAAGCCTTGAATACTCATTTAGTTTTCCTTAGGTAGCATGTAGGTGTTGCCTCATTGAAAACCTAGCGGTAAAACCCTTGTTGGGACAATAACCCGGGCGAAGGAATGAGTGCAACGCATTCTTTCGAAACCTAAGGCCTTCGAGAAGTGCTTCCGCCATTTTGATTGGGTACCTGGACTTAGGTTAGCGTAGAGTAAAATTGAAAGATTCGGGAGGCGGTCATACCTTAATGTAGATTGTTTCGGCGATGTTTCGAGCCCTAATATATTTCAGTCGCTTGTGATGAGGATGCGATACGATCTTCTGCTTTGTCTAGTTGGGCTTAATCGAAGATGTAGTTTGCTATCATTATTTCATTGTTTGTTTATCCTTCAGCCCTCTTGACGGTGGATGTACTGGTGTTTCGGGCCGTGCCGGCCAAATTGACTGGTACGGTGGTTTCCACTTTCGTTGTTTTGTTCGCCCAGTTGGGTCCATCCAGGACTTCGAAAGCCGGGCATAATTTGGTTAGGCAGTCCGAGCTGCTTTGTCACCTTCGACTTGATAATATTGGTCGAGCCACCTAGATTCACAAGCATATGTCGGATTCGAAATGCGTTTACAAGAAAAGAAGTTACAAGTGCACCGTAGCAGAGCCGAAATGGGGCCTCGAGTTGGCTTTTCCCCGTTGAGGAATGTTTTTGCTTTCCTTGCTGGGGGTTCCTACAGGGTGCCAATACCTTAATAGATCGTATGGATGACATGTTGCGGCTCATCCGCTTCGTTCTTTTTTGTCGCCTCTTTTTCCCGGAATGACTCTTGGCTCTGTCGCGGAAGAATTACCGGAGGTGACCTTTGCTGAGTAATCGGGCCACTTCTTCCTGGAGTTGCCGGCAATCTTTGGTCCTATGCCCGTGCGTGTTGTGAAATTCACACATGAAGTTATGGTTCCTTCGTGAGGGGTCTGATTGTACGGGCCTGGGCCACCTGACGACTCTGATTTTACTGATGGCGAACACGATGTTTGATACATCAACGTTGAAGTTGTATTCTAACAAGCGAGGTGCCTCTGTTGCCCCGCGTGCCTATCAAATCCGGCTCTGTTGACGAGTCCCCGAGGATTCTATCCTTGGTCCATCCTTCTATCGTTGCGGGGTATGTTGCGCCTCGGGGCATTCTTTCTGTCTTCGATGTATGGCTGGTACCTTTCTTTGTTTGGTTTTGGTTCCTTTGCAGAAGCCAGCTTGGGTATACCGAGCCCGAGGGGGCCCCTAGCTGGTCGTCCTCGACCCTAATTTTCCACTGGTATCGGTTATGAACATCCGACCAGGTCACGACCGGGTGCTCGATTAGGTTCTGGTTCAGCTGTTTCGAGGCCACCGAGCTTCGTTCGTTCAGACCTTGAGTGAAGTCCTGTACCGCCCAGTCATCGGAGACTGGTGGTAGTTCCATTCGTTCCATTTGAAAGCGAGATTCAAACTCTCGCAGTATCTCATTATCCCTCCGCTTAATCTTGAAGACGTTGGATTTCCTAGTTTCTACCTTGGTGGAACCAGCATGTGCCTTTAGGAAAGAATCTGCCAGTATGGCAAATGAATCTATCGAGTTTGGGGCCAGGTTGTGATACTACATCATTGCCCCTTTAGAGAGTGTTTCCCCGAATTTCTTCAGCAGGACGGACTCGATCTTATAGTCCCTCATATCGTTGCCTTTTACTGCACAAGTGTAGGCAGTGACGTGCTCATTGGGATTCGACGTTCCACTATACTTTGGAAGGTCGGGCATTCTGAACTTCTTTGGAATGGGTTTCGGAGCCGCTTCCTGTGGGAATCATTTTTGCACGAACTTCTTCGAATCAACACCTTTCATGATCGGGGGGTGCTCCCGCGATCTGTCCGACCCTGGAATTGTAGGTCTCGACCTTTTTGTCATTGGCCTCTATCTTCCTCTCGCATGATTCAATCCTCCTCGTGAGGTCCTCGAGCATCTTCAAGATGGCAGGTCAGCTGCCGACCCATTGTTACTTGATCTCTCCGGTACCTGCTCGGCCGGGGGAGCTGTCCCCGGTGCTACCGTGCTAGGAGTTTTCAGGTGACTTTGCAGCTGAGCAATAGCCAGCTGTTATGCGTACAACATTTCAAAAACAACGTGAAGGCTAACCTCCCGTTCTTCCCGAGCTGGGGTTTTCTGGGCTTCTTGTTGGTCGCCTTGGTGTATGCTCCTGTCGGTGTGGGAGCTTTATTCGACGTGTTGAGCGTCGTGTGAAACCGCATCCACAGGAATCAGTTCTGGTACGTTCTCAGGGTTTCGTGGTGGTACACCAACACCTGGGACATCAACACCATTTTCTCCATGGTCTTCAAGGTTGATGTTTTCACGTGCGTTTACTGAGTTAGACATTTGACCTGAAATCAAAGATCTTGGACAAGAAAAGTGTGAAAGATAACTTGCGTCACGTGATTAAACCAGCATGAAAATAATCACTATTATTTTTAGCCCCATGGTGGGTGCCAAACTGTTTACCGTAAAAATGGTAATAACAATTAAATTTGATTATGGGACTCTAAAAATACGTGATCTATTTTTATGCTAGTTGTTAAGAAATTGATGTTATGTGTGAGACTTGGAAACGAGATAAGAGTTAGGAATAAGGTGATAACCAAACCGATAGGTTAACAATTGGGGCCTCGAGCTTGTCGATTTAGGGGCCTCGAGGTCGATTTCGGTGCTCGGCTGGGAGCTATTGAAGGCAGTTGAAGAGCGACTAACAGTTATAATAAAATCGTTCATGGCCAATGATAAGCAATAAATGATGAACAATAATGAAGATAATAAATGGAAACAATAAAATCAAGAGAATGTGTTAGAGGGCAGAGAGAATGTTCTTGTGTATTTTGATATGGAGCAACCGGTCCTCTACAAATGACAAGGGTTACCCTTTATATATGAGTGAGAACATAGTACAAAAGCATTAATTACAAAGATATGGGACAGGTATAGCCACCTAGTGCCCAGATACGTTTTCAGACTAGTTCACCTTGAATCACCGAGACTGGTGATTCACATTGTCCCAGGGCCGGTCATTACTATTAACGTCCTGAAGTCGTATTGTCTCGAAATCGCCCGTCGAGGATTCTCAGAGTCGAACACTGGAAGCCCTCGAGATGCCGTGATGCTCGTGAAATCGGGCCATCAATTTCTACTGTATACACAACTAGCAAGGGTTTCCTTGTGAATTCTCCAAGACATCAGCTATGATAGATGAAAAAAACACTTGGGGCTTCCTCCTCTCTCTAGAACACTCCCCTCTCTCTAAAATGACAGATTAAACCAGCAAAATAACCCCAAGGTCGTTTTTATGAAAATGGGATCGGGTCCAAATTTTCAAAACATAAATTTATGAAGACGGGTCTGCGGTCACAAACGGGGACCACAAAATGGGTAAGCGGCCCACAAAGGGGACCAGAGAAATGGTCCCAAAAGCTGGGCAGGCATGGATAGGTCACTGATCTGCGGTCCGCAGATCAGTTCGCGGTCACATAATGGATCGTAGAACCTCCTTCTAAAGCTCTCTCATGCTGGTTCTGCAATGGATGTGTGTCCCGCAAAACTATTATGCGGTCGCATAGTTTACCGCAAAATAACCTCCAAATTTGGCCCATTACTCTGCCTCACTCTGCGGTGGATTTACGGTCTGCATAGTAGTTTTGCAGTCATATAATAGACCGAAAAAACGCCATGTTCTGCACCACGAATCCCCGGGTTTTAGTAATGTTTTACGGGGCCTTACATCCTCCACCGCTTAAGATTATTCGTCCCCGAATGAGGCTTAAAATCCGCCATTAGTATCCAATGTCTCACCTATTACTTCATACACCAGCAGTTCCAAATTTTGACTAACTCCCCAAATTCTCAAAAATTTTTGCCAGAGTCTCCCCTATACCTTGTCCTATCCACCTGCCAGAGAATCCCATAAACCAATCCTATCAATATATACATAAACCAACAATGTAACATAGTATGAAAACATCACTAACTGTGGCCTCATGAGCAAAATATTACCATAAAGGAATACCGTTAACATCAATTGTCAAGTGATACATAATTCATAGAAGGTAAGCTCTTAACACTTTTGCATAACACAACTGCCTAACTACATAGCTATTCAAACAAATGAAGGTACTTCTTCTTCACCTCTTCCTCGGCCTCCCAGGTGGCCTCTTCAACCTGTTGGTTTCACCATAGCACTCTCACGGAGGCAATCTCTTTATTTCTAGTTGCCTATCAAGTATGGCAACTGGAATTTCTTCAAAAGTCAATTCTTTATTAACTTCAATAGTCTCAACCGAAACAATGAGTTCCGGGTCTCCAACTACCTTTTTCAACATAGACACATGAAACACCGAGTGCACTAAAGACATCTATACAGGTGGCTTAATCCTATAAGCCACGTGACCAATCTTTTGAATGATTCTTTAGGACCCGACATACCTCAGACTCAATTTTACTTTCTTGCCCAACCGCATTATACACTTCACGGTGGAAACCTTCAAGAATATCCAATCATCCTCTTTGAACTCCAAATCCCTGTGACGTATATCCGAATAGGACTTTTGACGGCTCTGGGCAGTTTTTAACCGTTCCTTAATGACCCTAACCTTCTCAATAGCCTGATGCATCATGTCTGGACCTATCAACTCTGCTTCCCCAATCGCGAACCACCCCTTGAGAGATCTACATCTCCTACTATATAGAGCCTCGAACGGTGCCATCTGAATGCTAGCATGATAACTGTTGTTGTAGGCAAATTCTACGAGTGGCAAATCATCATCACAGCTACCCTTGAAGTCAAGAACACAAGCGCGCAATATATCCTCAAGCGTTTGAATAGTTCGCTCAGCCTGCTCATCGGTCTATGGATGGAAGGTTGTACTAAGATTCACCTGAGTACCCAAACCTTGTCCAAAAATTAGATGTGAACCGTGCCCCTCGATCGGAGACGATTGTAATCGGAGTGCCATCCAACATGACTATTTGATATACAACTGAGCATACTATTCCGCTATGTCGGTAGCCTTAACAGGTAAGAAGTATGCTAATTTCGTGAGTCGATCCACAACCACCCAAATCGAGTCGAACTTGCGAGGAATGCGAGGTAGTCCTACCACAAAGTCCATATTGATCATCTCCCACTTTCACGTCGGAATTTCTATGTTCTATGGCAGCCTACTGGGCCTTTCCTGTTCTGATTTTACTTGCTGACAATTTGGACATCTTGCCACAAAGTCCGCTACATTCCTCTTCATATCACTCCACCAGTAGACTTCCTTAAGACATGATACATCTTTGTAGAGCTTGGGTGCACAGAATACCTGGAAATATGGGCCTCGATCATGATTCTTTCCCAGAGACCATCTACATTAGGAACATATAATCGCCCTTGGTACCTTAGTGTACCATCATCCATGCCAAGAGAAAAAGTCGTGGTCCTATGTTTGTGAATCCCCTCCTTCTACTGTACCTACAATGGATCATCATATTACTTCTCTTTGACTTCTATAAGAAGCGATGATTCAGCCCTATTTTGCACAATTACCCCTCCTTCACTGGAGTCCGCAAGACGAACTCCAAAACTAGCTAATTGATGAACTTCTTTGGCCAACAACCTTTAATATAACTCCAAGTGAGTCAAACTACCTATAGATTTCCGGCTAAAAGCATCAGCCACAACATCAGCCATCCCCGGATGATATAGAATATCAATATCGTAGTCGTTGAGTAACTCAAGCCATCTTCTCTGCCTCAGATTCAATTTCTTATGTTTGAAAATATATTGAAGGCTCTTATAGTCTGTGAATATATCCACATGGACCCCGTACAAATAATGACGCCAAATCTTCAAGTTATAAACCACTACCGCAGGTTTTTGTCATGTGTTGGATAGTTTGTTTCATGATCTTGAGTTGCCTAGAGGCATATACGATCACCTTACCATGTTGCATCAATGCACACCCAAGTCCGATCCTTGAAGCATCACAATATACCACGAATCCATCTGTACCCTCTGGCAGGGTTAACATCGGTGTCATAGTCAATCTTAATTTCAAATATTGGAAGCTCTTTGCACAAGCATCTGGCCATTGGAATTTAATTGCCTCCTATGTCAATCTAGTCAACAGACAGGCATGAGTAGAGAACCACTCCACAAATTTCTTATGATACCCAGCTAAGCCCGAGAAATTACTAATCTCTGTTGGAGTTGTAGTTCGAGGCTAATTCTTCATAGCTAGAATCTTCTGAGTATCAACTTTAATTCCTTCTCTGGAGATGACATGACCTAAGAACGTGATAGATTGAAGCAAAAATTTACACTTTGAAAATTTCACATATAACATATCCTGATATACAGTCTGCAAAATTGCCATGAGATAATCGGCACGGTCCTCTTGACTTCGTGAATATACAAGAATATGGTCAATGAACGCTATCACAAAAGAGTGGATGAAAGGCTGGAAGACTTGATTCATAAGACCCATGAATGTTGCTGGGGCATTTGTTATCTCAAAATTCATCACCAAAAATTCAAAGTGCCCATACTAGGTAATTTCAATCACAATCAAATTCTCTCTCTGTACTGTGCGACTCTGGTGAACAGTGCCACCGTCGTACGTTTATGGTTGCAACTCCACTGTCCGATGGTGAAAAGCCACTAGACCAAACACATCGAATGTGCCTTGACAATGCGCACAAACCCTATCTAAGCTCCCGTGCCAAAACTAATCCAACTGTTACAGATATGAGTGGCGATATCTTTTGGGGGGAAACCGACATGCGAGCTTCTGAAAATCCTCTGCTAGTTTCTAAGCCAAATCATGGAATTCCAAGCAGTGGAGACTTTTCTCCACATAAAGGGCTATCAGTACAGCAAATTTCTCAATATTCCACCATCGAAATTGATCCCTCGGATCAACTGAATCCTTGCGAACATCAGTTGGTCGTGCATGGTGATACGGAGGTCCAAGTTGAACAAAATTTATGCAAAACATTGTCTGTAGGCGAGGAGATTGTGTCTAATCCATCTCCATCTGACTTCAATGGCTCAGTTCTCACCACATCTCAATAAACGACCTATGTAACTGATGGTCCATCAGCAGATCGAGAAAATGCAAAAGATATTCCTATTGACTTGATTGCTGTACAAAGTGGTGAAGATGTTTCATTAAAGCTGCCTCATAATCAATCGAGCATCACTCCCATTATACCGGGTAACAGTACAAACCAAAACAATAATTTAAATCCATTACATCCTGCCATTGATTTGGTCATTGTAGAAGCTCATTCCAGAGAAGAAGCACCTAGAGGTTCAACATCCCAACAACTCCAACCAAACCCAAACTATCATATTGTTTCCCCCCTTACCACACAACCACAGGTAGAAAAATTCCCTTTACCAAGAAACCAGCTTAACACCAACAATAATAACTTCCCTAAAGTGTCATCCAACTTTGACTAGCCCAGCCGCACCAAAGCCATCATACCACACCCAACAATCAATGAAACTCAACCCAGGACCAACACCGAAAAGCCAAACCCATGATCCTATCCCTAAGGCCAAACAACTAAACAATTCCCTGCCCCACCACCACCCATAGTCACTCACTCTTATATAACCAATATGAGAGCAAGATATGAAGAAAAAATTAAAGCGATAGAGTTCACACCACCAAGGATCATAATAAAACAAGGTCAACCAGCAGTGATCTTCAACAGAAGTGACTACATGGTCAAGCTTGCAGCCAGGTGAAAATACACAATTGTTGGAAAGCTTTCCAACACCATGCCTAGAATGGAGGTCATCAGAAAAAGCTTTGTCGCTCAAATTGAATTGAAAGGTGGAGTAAATTAGCACGCCTTAATGCTAGGACTGTCGATATAGACTTAGACAATGAATATGATCATGTCACTATATGTACTAGGCAGTTTATGTACATACAGGGCCAAATGATGAAGTTAGAAGCATGGACACCTACCTTCAATCCAACTGAAGACTCTCCTGTAATTCCTATATGGGTTGTCATCTATGAACTACCTTGGCATTTCTTACTACATGGAGGTTCTCACAGTTTTACTATCTTCAATTAGGAAAGCTCTACACTTAGACTTGGCATATTTTGAAAAACAAAAGGAAGTGTGACCAAAGTCAAGATGCAGATTGATCTTACAAAACCTAGACCACGCCATGTGTGGCTAGTATTTTATGAGAATCAAGATGTCAATGGTGATGGACAATGGCTAGAAGTGCAATACGAAAACATTCCTGACTATTGCATGTATTGCAAACAGTTGAACCATACCTCAACATCCTGTCCAACTAGAACCAAAGATGAAGAAAATAAAAGGAAAAAATGACTATTTCACACAGGAAGGTATCAGGGAAAACCAACAACAACAAAATATTTCAGGGGAAGTATCAACAAGCCAGAACCAAGGACATCAACAACAAGAACATCAACAAACCCTTCTGGAACACCAAACATCAGGGGTCACTCCTTCAAACAATGAATGGAAAAATCAGAAAAAAGCACTTCAAGGGACAACAGCAATAGAACAAGAAGAAACATCAAACGTATGTACCAAAGCAAACCTCGAATAATCACCAACTGATGCATTAAAATACACATCCTCAGGTAATTGAGAACTCCAAACATCAGAAGGCTAAAACAAACATGATAGCCTCTACTTTTACTAACCCCCCGTTAAAATGGAGAATGATGTTGATTCCATGGCCCAAAATCCTCCCCCCTCCCTCTCCCTTGTTAATAATGCTGAAGTTAATGGAGGAAAGGAGAATGGTCAGAAGGTAACCTGAACTACGCAAGATGGGGATCCAAAATGGGAGGGAATACTCATGATTTGCACGAGTGTGCTTTAGCACTTTTGATTGACCATAGGAATGACTCAAGAACCCTTGTTACCATTGGCACTCACCCAGATACAGCTCAGGGTCCCTTTGATGATCATTGCAAAGTAGAGCAGCATGCAGCAAAAAGAATGGATAAAGGCAAAGGTCATGCTTTTCATGATGCTCTCACTCAACATACAAGACCGAAAAATAAACCATGTCAGAAAAAGAGAAGAGCTCTCCAATGGGAAAATGCAGGTATAAGCATAGTTGAACCTTTAGAGGAACCTCCCGATAAGGCTCCTGTGATCTACTCTCACTCAACTTCACTAATGACAAGACACATTCCAAACCAAGGGGATAGTTTTCAATTTATTAGTGGAGATGGCATTCATATGGTAACGTCACACTCTGACAAAGATACACCTGTAAGCACAAACATACCTATAGAAACTACTGAACTAGACCTAGGGAACCAATCTGCTCTGATACTCTTGAACAATCACTCACCTTCAGGTTAGGATGATGATGAATACAGACCTATACAATCTGAAGATGAGTTAACTAGGGGTTTAGAAGAGGATGATAGGTTCAGTGATGGTGCTGATGAAGATCAATATTGGGATCTCCTATTGGCAGCAGTTAATTGTGTCGCTGAACAGGACAATGTCACATCTTCTCATGAGAAATCTTCTAGAATGAGACCTTCACCCACACTTACCAGAAGCAAAGCTGCTTCAAGCAGCAGCAATCCATCAAAATCAAGAACCCCCATCATTCTGAAATGATTAGTACAATCATTTGGAATGTTAGAGGTATCGAAACCTTTGGAGCTTTTGAGAGACTCAATAATCTCAAACACATTCACAA